TCCCTCTTCTCCCAAGCCACCACAACCACCTCCCGCACCTCCACCTCCACCTCCTCCCACGCCTCAGCGCACACGCACGCGCCGGCCGCGAAGCAGGCGGCCCTTGCAACAGCCCGCGCGCGGTACGACGCGCTCTTCATCGCGAATGCGCGCGCGCACGTGCCCAGACCGCCGCTGCCGGCGCCACCCGCGGTGGCGCACGCGAAGCGCCAGAACGCAGGCTGGCGCGGGCTCTCGATCGACATGGACCTCGCTTCAGCTATGTCCGCGCCCGCACCCGCACCTACGCTTGCACCAGCGCTTACGCCGGAGCAGCCCGCGCCAGACACCAGACTGGACGGGCGCGTCGTGCGCGCCATATGGTTCAAGTCCTGCCTCGAGCACCAGCGCCTGCGAGATATCTGGTGCGCCCCCTTTCTTTCTTCCTTCCACATTTCCGTCCTTTTTTTTTCAGTTGTCACTGACGAATTATCTTTTTTCCTTTGTTTGTTTAGGAATGAGTGCGACCCGGATGGGGCGGGCTCGCTCGATCGCGACGCGTTTGCGCGTGGGATGGGGCGCATCGACGAGGAGCTGCGGCGAGCGCGGGTACTTGGTCGTCCTCGCGCTGGTTCGATCACGAGCCCGAGTGCGCGGGCGCCGCGGCCGGTTCCTTCTCGTCCGATTCTTCGCTAAAGTTTTTGAAAGGATACTTTGTACAGTACTCCTCGGACGGACGGACTTACAATACTATACCTAACACCGCTCTTAACTACGCACATACCCCCCTCCCACCTTTGTCGTGCTCCCAACTCCAATAATGCTTTCTTCAAACGGTGTATCCCCAAGGCTCAACATCACATTCCTGTGCATCCTATCTATCAAATGTATGCGTGTAGATTAGTCCTGATATGAGTTAGCGTTAGCATACAGACCGCGACGCTCATGAAAGTACACCGCGCGCGCCGCCGCCAGCTGCCCCACTATATATCTGCGCCAGGAGCCCCAACACGCCCCCGTCCGCGCCGAGCCCATCCTCATCTTCCTCCTCCTGCATCGACCGCGCGCCAACACCATACGGATGCTCCGCGCCCCATCGACATACGGCTCGCCCAGCGCGCTGCGCACGTCTCCCTCCGAGTCCGCCACGAGCTCGCCACTGCCACTCGGTATCGGCACCGGCCGCCTTCGTCGCTGGCGCTTGTTGTTGGTGCGGAGGCTGCAACTCGGCGAGCGCGACCGAGCCGTCCGAGTCGCCCAGCGCGACGCTCTGCGCCATCCCCGAGTGGTACACCGTCCCGGTCGACTGCCCGAGCATCGCCGACGTCGCGCCGAATCCGAGGGTGGCGCCGACGCCGCCGACGACGGCGGGCCCGCCCCGCCGGCGCACGGCCGCGGTTCGCGACTCGTGCAGCGCGCGCTCGTACTCCAGTGTGCGGTCCGTGGCCATGCTCAAGTTCGGGCGGGGAGTGTGATCGTCCACGATACGCCGTGCGGAGAGATCCGCGATGCGAGAGAGGTACAGTGAGCCTGAAGGGTCTGCTGGCATCCACTCGGGGTGGGCCGCTTTGAATGAAACGAACGACTTTTCCATCTTTCCGTCGTTGGACATCAGCCGTGCATCGGACACCTTCGTTGGCGCACCAAACTGTATATGTAACGAGCGGAGGTTAAGCGTGTGGGCAGGGTTGGATAGAAGAAAAAGTTACAGACCTTGACGTTACCGTGTCGCTGGAAGTCAAACACGGCAAAGCTACAGACATACCCGAGTCCATCGACGTGAACAGTAAACTCGCGGAAAAAGTCAACGATTGCCGGCGCGCACGGGGGCAACGCAAACCAGAGGATGAACGGGGTCAACACCACACTGGCGAGCTCCGTCGCGAAAGTGACCGCTTTCATAGCGAAAAGATCGCCGAATTGCGTGTGTACGCCTTGGAGTGCAGCTGCTCCCGCCACTCGTCCGGGAGGTAGTGCGTATATTGGACGATCGCCTTCATGAGCATATCTGGATCGAATACCCTATTCTCTTCAGGGATCATGCCACGCGCGACCGCAAGTATACCACCAAAGACGGAAAGGTAGAAGAAGACCGAGCGGTGGGGTGTAATCTCGAGGTGGATAAAAAGGTCCGGTCGATGACGGTAGCGAGAAGGAGGACAGCGGCAAAGGAGCCTGCCACGAATGCCGCGAATCTTGCTATCGCGTCAATATAACGGGCCAAGAATTGCCACACGCTCACCTCATGACAATCGCTAGCTTCTCGTTGGGAAACTGATTCATGTACATATTCGCAATGGGGTAGGACTCCTTGAGACGTCGATCGAAAAGGTGGGGAAGTTCATTGAATTCCCGAAACTTCCACTGGGCAAAAGGAGTATATGAGCGACCGCTGATTGAAGATGGATTCTTGTATGACTCCTGTTATTCCCAGATTAGGATGTGCTCACGACGAAAGGAAGGACGATTACTTCGAAGTATCGGAAGAACGAGTACATGAGCAAGTATACCACTATGAAGGGGGCAAAGATTGCGTTCAAAATACCCATGAAAATGAAACGTCTTCTCAGCCTGTGCACCCGCGTCAACCACAGTGACGGGAAGGATATTGCAGATTACGCACCCGTCGATCAACGCTCTTCGGTTCTTGCTCTTCAAGAACACTTTTCTCACCCGCCCTCTTCTGTCAAACAGATATTCCATCAAGCAGAATTGGAGGTTCCATTCAAGGGCACGGGTAAGTGTCCGGCCCTTGCCTTCCTCTGTGGGCCACCCGCGCGGGAATGGCACACTCAAATCAAGGAGTTCCTTGTTAAAAAGAGCGATGAGGAAGTTTTCTTGCCGCATGATACGATTAGCGATATCATGGGCATCCAGCTTAGCGCCGTCGCTGGCGCGTGGGCGGGAAGATGACGAGGAGAGCTCCGTGAGTGGATTGGAATTACGGATGGCTTCGATGCGTCGGACGACTTCAGGCCAGGAGATAGTCTGGATATCTTCCTAGAAAAACGTTTGGGAGAAGAGTAGCGACACAGATGGGAGACGCACGTCAGGAATTTGAAGGAGGTAGGTATAAAAGTTGTACATGTCCACGAGTCGCATTGTGCTCAAGACAAATGATGCAATTTGCCATACGTAAAATGCGCAGAATAGGAGGAAGAAAAGCAGTGTAAAACCCGAGAATCTGCATGAAAAAAAGGCGTGAGAAATGTGGGGGGGCACAGTCTGCCTGGGGGACGCACCTGGAGACGCAACGCTCGACAACAATATCGGACAGTCGTGTGACTTGATCAGGATGTATGCGCGAGTAATCTACGCAGCGGAGGAGGAACGTCGAAAAGGCGATGACAAACCCGACTGTGCTGGGCTCGGCATTAGCAAACCCCCAAACATGCGAGGAGGTAACCCACAAAGATTCAGCCCCCTCTTGAGGGCGATGGAGTATATCCCCTTCCCGTGGTAGTACATGTACACCTCCTGAAGAAAGGCATCGAGGTTGTAAACGTTCACCCAATTCCACAAGGCGCGCTCGTACGCGTCCAATCCACGCTTCGGATTGGGCTGCCCAGCCGCAGACGGCGATCGAGTGGGCAGATGTTCCACACCGACCTCCGAAGGACGTGGGGGGACAGATATCCGTGGAGGGTCGACGGGCTTAGTGGCGCTCGATGCGTGGCGTGGGTCGCGTGCTCGGCCCTTGCGCGACAGTGGCGCACGGCGTGAAGCGGGCGACTCGATCAGGAAGCTCTGCGGGACCTCGCCATCGGACTCGGACTCCTCCTGTACGCGGTCGTCCTCGCGAACGTTGGGTCGGAGTGTCCCAGCTTCGGCGGAGCCCCGGGAGAGGCGCTGGGTGTGGGCGGAAGCGTCGAGGGTGGCCCTGGATGATGAAGTGGGAGGTGCCTGGGCTTCGAGGTCGATAGTCTCATGCCTGGGAGACGCGGCGCCGTCGGTGTCTTCTTCGTCCTCTTCGAGAACGGACTGGTTGGCGGCTGCATAGCCCTGGTACGCGCGGCCGAGTGGGTTAAGCATGTTGAGAAAAGGGCGAGAACTGGCGGTGGGTGCGTAAACGGACTGGGTAATAGAGCGCGATGCAGAGAGGGAGCGGCCAGTGGACCGCCGATTATTGGGTGGGGAAGTCATCGTGGCCGGCAACGGCGACGACGAGAATTGTTTGTGTAGGCGGCGCTGCGCGCCTTGAAAAGGGCGTCAGTGACACGGGCACTGCACTGACTGCACTGACTCTTACGCTGACTCGTCCCAAACAGGCCAGTTCTCACACTCTCTTATTGGGCTCACACGGCTCGGAGACATGCTACAAACGAAGAGATTCTATGCGCGCGCGCTATGTAATCTTATAACTATTGAGGTCACAGTTGCAAATGATAATGTCGCCCACAGAGGGTGGCATAATAACCCTGAAATGCGAGCTGGTGGCTCGGTCTTCAAAGTTTCAACTTGAAGGCAGCACAGAGCCAGGGAGGACGAAATCAAGGTTTGAACCACACCAGTAGAGAGAAGAGGGCAGCCGAAGAAGTAACCAAGCGACCAAGCTGAAGTGACTACCGACTATCGAACGACACCCTAGGCCCGTAGAGCGCCAACAGGAGCCGGGTGCCCTCTTCTCATGCCTCTCTCCAACAGTCTCGAGAGCGAACCAGTATAAACTTTGTAAATAATACACAATCGCAAGCACAAGGGTCAGCCACCACCATATTAATACATCATGACTTCGAGAAGATCCACGGGCGTGCTACACCCATGTCTCCAGCCACGACACGACATCAATTGCACGACATAATGAACTTGGACGTCCAGTGGGATGGGCCCTGGGAGCGGGTCAGCTGCCAGTACATGTTGGCGGAGTGTTTGCGGCTCCATTCTGGTGGGAGCGACTGAGGCATTGACTTGGAAGCCTTGAATTTGAAGCATTTGAAGCCTTCTTGAATCTGGATACACAAGTGGGCGTCGTCCTGAATCCAGCCCGTACGTATTTTCTGCAGGGTGAGTCTGTGTTCAAGGGGCGGATGGCACAGTGGTAGCGCGCTTGCTTCGCAATCTCATGACCTTGTCATGAGTACGCTGCATGAGGTCGTGGGTTCAAACCCCACTTCGTCCACTTTTTTTTTTCTAAAGTGGGAATTATGCAGGCGCGCAGGAAGAAATCGGTCGCTTAGCCAGGCCAAGAGACCACAAAGGCTACCTACCAGCTCTACAACACTGACATATGTACCTACGTGATTGCCGATATGTTGCTACTCACTAGTTTGTTGTATCTACACCGGGCAGGAGAAGGAAATACCGCAGTGACTTTTGAGGTCGATGCCCGGGGCCCAATGGCTTAATGAATGCCCCCCTTGCCTACACGGAGTTTGCTCGCTAATGAAGGAAGGCGGTCATAAGAATTTGCGTTCGCTCTAAGCCGATACTGTGTCCTACTCAACAACCCTGAGCCTCCCAACCAATGTCCACATGTCCTCCCCGCTAGCCTCTTTAATCTGTCCTCACCGGGCCGTTGCGTCAGCACCGTGCTCGAGAAGTACACGAGCGGCCTCAACATTTTCCGCCTGTATGGCCCAGTCCAATGGAGTCCGCCCGTTGTTGTCCTTGGAATTCAGGTCTACACCTTGTCCAATAAGGACGCGCACGACCCTCACATCGCCCCAACCAGCCGCTGCATGTAATGGAGTCAAGCCTCGCTCGTCATCGGCTGTCGGATCCGCGCCATACTCGAGAAGGAGGCGTACAGCTTCCACATGATTCCTTGCCTTATGTAAGGGGGTCATACCATATTTGTCCCGCGATGTCACATCCGCACCGCGTTCGAGAAGGATGCGAACAGTTTCCACATGTCCATAGAGCGATGCCTCGTGTAGTGGTGTTGACTCGTCCCCGTCCTTCGCCGTCGGATCCGCACCGTGATTGAGAAGGGCGAGTGCGACTTCCACACTTGGCTGTTCTGACGCCCTATGCAATGGAGTGATCCCATGCGAGGTCTTGGCTGTCGCATCTGCGCCCCGCTCGAGAAGGATGTGAACGATTTCCATAGGTCCCTCAGACGATGCGTGATGCAATGGTGTCCACCCGTGCTTGTCCTGGGTCACTGCACTAGCACCATACTCGAGAAGGACACGAGCGACGTCCCAACGTTTCCCGTTCAAAGCCAGGTTCAACGTAGTTTCACCCTTCAGCTCCGACGTCGCATCTGTACCATACTCGAGCAGGACGCGAGCAGCTTCTGCACATCCCGAGATCGATGCTATATGCAATGGAGTATATCCGTTGTTTTCCTGGGCCGTCACGTCCGCGCCACGGTCGAGAAGGAAGCGTAGGACTTCCTCTTGTCCCTCGGATGACGCCAGAAGATGCAATGAACTCCACATGTTCTTGTCCTGGGCTGTTATATCGGCACCATGCTCGAGAAGGATGCGTACGAGTTCTACACCTCCCTCTGCCGTTGCCTTATGCAATGGAGTCGACCAGTGCTCGTTTTTGGCTGTCACATCAGCACCGTACTCGATAAGGACGCGAGCGACTTCTAAATGTCCCCGGTATGAGGCGCAGTGCAGTGGAGTCCATTCATCGATGTCCTGGGCTGTTACATCTGCACCGTGCTCGAGAAGGACTCGAACAACCTCCACATGTCCGCAGGATGATGCGTGATGCAACGGAGTCCACTTCTCGGAGTCACTGGAGTGCACGTCCTGCGAGCGGTCAACGACCAGGAACTTTACGATGCCATGTAGGCCACAGATAGCAGCATAATGCAAAGGTGATCTATCGGGCTGTGATGGCCTTTTCCCTCGGCTATCAGGACTGCGGAGGCCATATGGCCCATATCGCGGGTCAAATAACCAGATCCAGACCATGAGATGTCGCTTCCTGGGGTCAAACAGTTCTTTCATGCCATCATCCACATTCTGCGATACACCCTGGAATCGAGCATGGTCAAGCCAGTGCTCGGCAGCGTATTCGGCGAGGGGGAATTGCTGCAGGCTTTCGTTCGTGACATCTTGATCCAGGTGGAGAAGAATGCCCAGACAGGCTTGCCCCACAAGGGAATGAGCTTGTGTCATCGAAGCATGATAGCGGCGGGAATTAATGTCACTTGATTTGGCAAGGCGCGCCGATGTCAAGAACTCTTTCACCGAGAAGTGAGAGAATTGTATAACTGGGGAATCGTCCACCTTGACAACGGTCAGTAAACTGGAACATGTCGATAGCACTGCGTCTAGTGGATCTTCCAAACGCCAATCCTCGTAAAACTTTGGTATTGGTCCTGCCTCAAAGTCGAATGCAAGAAATTCCGCAAGTTCCTCGACGGTGAGCGGGCGGGAGGCCACGGTAACGCATTGAAACAAACGGTGTGCGAATTCCCAATTCGTTTGATCGATATCCCGCAATGTGCGCTCATAGGTCTCGTCGAGCGTATCTGGCAGTTCCATGAGGGCACGTCGGATGCGCCCTGGGAGGCAGCCACGAAGGTATACAATCTGACAGTACACCCATCGAAACCTACATTACGGGTGTGAGCGAGTCGTCAGGAATCAGAATATGTGATCCTTACATCCCGTCAGCATTTATTGTGAGGGCATCGATGACCATTTGCTTGTCCGCTGGTTTCCACCTTCGCATCCTTGGATCCGTATTAACGGTCGACTTGATGTAGTCGTCAATGTCCTGCATTTGTCCGATCTCGCCGTGGAGGGAAAGCGAATGGAAAGCCAATGAATCCAAGACAGCCTTGATGTCCGTTTCGGGTCGGCTCGTCACACATATGCGCAAATTCGGGGCTTGTGAGTCGATAAGCTCCTCTATGAGCATTAGCACTTTCTCCCGAGGAGACGGCACGGCGGTTGTATTCGGACATTCATCCACGGCGTCCACAACCAGGTAGACAGGCGCTTGTCCTGGGAGTTGAAGCAGGTCCTTTAAACACTGTAAAAGTGCATCGTCGCTAGGATGTTGCTCGCCCCCGGCATGTTCCGAGTAGAATTTGGAAAGGGTGTCGCTGTAGGAGTCGGACTGATGACAAAGCTGCACAAGCAGGGATGAGAGTAGCCCCCGCCTATCCTTCTTTTCATCTTCCCTAAAATCACAGTAGAAGAACGCCAGAGAGGCGAGCCCGGACTTCCGCATCTCGTCGATGTTTTGGATAATTGTGGAACTGGCCGACACCATTAGTCCTCAAACGGAAATATAGAGGTTAACCTACCAAAGAACGCTCTTCCCTGCGCCCGCTTTAAAATGGAACATGATCAGTTAGTGCGAAAGCTGAGGGCTAGGAACAACCGACGTTTGCCATGGATCCATAGAAGGGAACCTGATTCAGACGACCTCCATTCCGAGAACATTCTTCCTTTGGCGAACCAGGCTGCAGTGCCGGTGTGGCGAGATTCGCGAGCGATATTATGGTTCTTCCATGGATCGGGGGGAGAGAGCCATTTTCGAATGTCTCGCTGCAATGTGTCCCCTGGCAGGTAGTCTCAGTGTCCCTGGCCAGCAACGTAGGCACCAGGAAATAACCTACGTTTGGACTTATTTATCTCAGTCACCATTTGTTGCATGATCTCTAAAGGGTCAGTCAGCCAAATGAACTGGCGTACTGGGGTCGACGAAGCTTACCGAGGGCATCCCGGACACCCTCAACCGCTGCCTTGCCGTCTAGAGAAAAGAGTACTCAACAGCCTGCAGGTGACAAGCGAGACTTTCTTACCATCCATGACCACCCTCATATTCTGGACGAGACCATAGACGACCTCGAGAGTCTGCGCTGCGGTCGTCCTAGCCTCGTCCGTGGTGAGTCGATCCAGCCTCTGGAGCACTGCTTCGACCTCATTCTCTCCCAAAATTTTCTTTACAAATTTCACTGCGCCGCATTCAGTCGAGTGGGCGCATTTGGGGGAACGAACTTACTCGTTCGCTTTTGTTTAATCTGTCGGGTCACTAGGGCGAGGGTGGAAAGCAGTTCCACCATTATTTTGATAATGATTTCTGTCATGGCGCCTGTTAGAGCGATTTTTGTGTAGATGTCAAGGCGGCCCAGGAAGCATTCAAATGATTCGAGCAAGTCGACAAGCGCATCGTAACTGGCACTGACGTCTTCGACCGCCTGGTGGACTTAGACGTTAGAAGAATACGGCATGGGACCCAATGAAATCACATACGGCGAGCAGGATAGCAAAGGCGGTAAATATCGCCTTTGCGGGTGGGAATGGTACGAGACCTACTGCCTCGCCAAGGGCGGAGCTAGAAAGAGTATGCAGAACGGAAACGGCAGACTTGAGGGATTTCATGACTCTTCCATCGCCTCCTCTGAATTCACTGAAGGCCCGAGCTTGTTCTTGAAGAAGGGCAACGACGGACTCAACAGAGTCACACTTCAAAAGTTGCTCGGCGCCTGGGTGTTCGGCTAGTTTTATGCCCGTCTGCCTTTCGTAATTGTGCAAGGCAGACTCGAAGAGCACCGAAAAGCGAGAAGGTGTGGGGGGACTGCTCATGGTTTGCAGCGGAATGTGTTGAAGCAAAGGGAAGTTGGTCTGTTGGGGGAAATACTGGGGAAATGGGATTGTAGCGAAGGATAAACACAATGAAAATCCCAAAATCCAAAATGGGGGTGAGCCCTTTCACCAAGGCCTAATGCAGGCCTAATGGCCGATCCTCCGTGCCCTAGACCCATAACGAGTCGCCGTCGGCCTCACGTGCGTGTGCTCGTAGCGGAAATCGCGGAATGGATACACGTGGCATCTACGAGTAACCGGTCCTCAGTTCTGCGCAATTCAGTGGAGGATGACCAGAGTGGCAGGGATTGTTGGCATCTTGGCTCGCAGCGCACCTGCCAGTGGAAGTGACATTTGCCTGTGTGTGTCGACACAGGTTCCTGGGTTTTCCCCCCGCAATTCCCAGCATTTCGGAAGTCCGGGGCCGCCTGCCATGGTCCGGTCTGTCAAGCCCTTCCCACGCCTGTCCCAAGTCGGCAACCTCTACTGTATATAGTATGATGCGACTTCTTCATCTCCATTTCGAGCTTGTTGTCTCTGACGACGAGCATGCTTACCGATCAGGAAAAAAAGGCGCGGCTATCTAGTGCTCCATGTTTATTCTTTCGTGCCACATGGC